TTGATGAATAAGAAATTCTTTGCATCTGATGCGTTCCATGATACTAAGGACTAATGAAACTTGAGACATGTAATTGAGCACAAGAGAGAACATCAGCATAATCAATAAAAATTATGCAAATGAAGACCTATTTGCATAATTAATGAGGAAATCACTTGTAAGGTTATCATCCTTTGGCATGGTATGAGATGGTGGAACTCTAGCAAAAACTGTCTAAGAAAGGTGGCAGAATCTCTGTGCCCTGAGGGTGTATTGTCCTCAAACTTTTTGTGTACTTTTACTTCTTTGTTTGATAGTCAATCAACTACTAAATGTAATGTAGACCAAACTGTTGGTGAGAAAATTGCACCCAAAGTCAGTCATTGAATTCTAATGAAAGGGTTCTTTGGGACGGTTCAATAATTCGATTCAATCAAGTTTGCACTATGTTCAGAATAAACTTAAGATAAATCTAACAAAACCAATTGGATTCAATCATTACAGTTTACTCTCTGAAGAATAATAATACTTGCTTCTGGACCGGAGTATTACTTTAAACAGAAAGGAACACAAATTTAGCCTGTCAATTCCTTAAAAAGTAGGGCAGGACAGCATCAAGCACTGGACGTCCCTCACCGTCCCACAACTCCTGACAGCAGCCCAAGACAGGAGAATCTGGCAAAACCTCTGCTGCAAGGTCTGCCTTGTCCGGCCTGACGACCAGTGTCAGTCATGGGACTAGGTAGGTAGTCACTAGTAGGTAGGTCCACAGATAAACTTTGGGAGGATCTTTACATGTATGTTTCTGGCTTGAGGTACACATGTACATGACATACATGTACTAGACTTGTCTGATGTAACTGATCTGTTTTACCCCCTGGTGTGTGCAGGCCGAGTGTTGTCCTGTCTGCCCTGCAGCACCAGTACTTCTGTTCTACTGTCAGTGCTGCAGGCCAGGTAGATCGCTCCAGCTGACAGGGCACTGCCGATGTACCTGGGGTTGGCCAGCTCCATAAAGGTCCGACAACCAGCACTGGGAAACAAACATGAAGACTTGGTTCTGCATTCAGACTGCACAAAGGAGTCATGTCTTGTATACAATGCAGTTTTACATCTTAGAACAAGGCTGAATGATACACATGTGCATGTTGTATACAGTCATGTGTCATGTATGATGGACCCACCTGCACAGACCTCTGGGAGGCCAACAAAACAGCACAGAACTGGCTGCAGAGACAGCAACAAGCTATGGTCTTAAGAATGTACATTCCGAAGACATTTTACTTGATGACAGATGATGATATGAATAACAGATATTACAGATGAGTATATACCGATAAATGTAACATTATGCCAAGATAAATGTACCTTACACGTACATGTACCTCATGGTACTGATGGTGCCACTTTGACTACAGACAGACACGGGAACTGAAGAATGGACTAACCTTTCAAACACTCCTGTCTGCTTAATCTCAATCACCTCCAGTGAGTTGAAATGGGTAACAAACAAGTAGGGCTCCCTGTAAGCTGGACAGGTAGAAATAGTTATTGGCTATCTACTGTGTATGCAGAGAGCTACATGTAGATGTACGTGTACATCTAGTACAAAACGTCCCTCCTAGACACAGTTAGCTTTGTGGCATTTAAGTACAAACACGGCAACATGTACATGACTACATAGCATAGATCATGTCATATCAACACTGCATCCCACATTAATACATTTGTACATCACAAACATTTATGACTCCACATTGTGTACCAACACAACATCAGGTATCACATACTGTAATTGCCTGTACTACATGCACAATGTAAACATACACTGCAGCTGTGGCTACCAACATAGTACTACCAAATTACTAGTGTAAACAACACTAATGAAATGTGTCTCAATACAGTTCAAGCTTAAAACTTAGTAAATGTATATGATTAATTTTGTACCAAAAGTTACTTCACATTAAACATTCATGTCCAATGTCTTTCGAATCCTCACCAAATGACAGAGGCAGTCTTGTCCATTTCAAGTCCTCTGCGTTGGAACGTCGGCCAGACTGATCCACAAAGACTCCAAACTCTGAAGGACGCACAGAACTTAAGTTAGACCTGGTCAGGCAATTCTGGAAGCAGGCCTCATTTTCTAAACAACCACATTTTTATGAATACAGAATCAACCAAATTTTCAAAAATCTCAGAACAGATTGTCAGCGAAGTGTCACTGAGTTAAAGTTGGCCAGAAAAAGGGTCTGCATTAGGTCTAGGATTGGTTTTGATACAAAGTCCAAATAACTTTACAGGGTCTTTTTGGGGAGGACTTGCTTGTTGTGTTTTCCATTGTTCATGAGGTGTCTGTCAGAATGTCTTTAGAAAACAAAGTGTGAAAACTGACATGCATATGATTGAAGCACTCAGCACAAAGCCAAGACAATTTATAGGGCAGGACACAATTAATTAACAGTCAGATGCTAATATCTTCATAAGTGCGCATTGTGCTAAACAAAGGACTGTCTCCTAAGGGTGTTCCTACCTGACGTGTGAAGAGACTATGGATATATATAAAATGTCCACCTTGGGTTATTTCGATGTCGTTTTTCAGTAACTATGTCTACTTGATGTTCTCCCGACTGGCCTTTGTTCAGCGATGTCTAAATCATGTCTAATGTTCATTAGATGTTTAATAGACATTTTTGGCTCTTCCAGTGTGATTGATTAAACCAGTGAATATATTCACTGGCTTAATCAATCAGTAGACTCATGTTACCATGGAAACACAGAAGGTACTCCTCCTCAGCACAGTCATCTGGTGACACCTTCAGGACAGCCACAGGGAAGCTGTCACACTGACTAGCACCAAATATGGCAAAGGCTAGTGACGTGTCTGTCTTGTCCAGGAACTCTGTAAAATAGAGTATCCGTGCTACAGTCAGTCAAAACATGTAGAACAGCCTTCCACAGGACATTGCCAATAGCAGGGACTTACAGAACTTCAAACAAAAAGTCAACGCTAATCTCATCGTAATGTATAGCAAAATTAGTGTTAATATGTTCAATGTACTGCAGCTAAGCTGAGGTCTCGGCCACAGCATAGAAAACAAACATCACAGAATGGTACAAATGTAACAGTCCTACAAATTTGCAGAAAATCATTGGAATAAGGACCCCTTTACAACAAGTACATATTGTTCAGGTCATAGTCAAGAGCTTCTACTGAGAAGTTTAAACCTTTAAACTTAGCATTTGGTATACATGTACATTGTATATACAAAATTTAATAAACAATGCAAATCAGGCAAAATCATTATGTATGAGGGCTCTGGTTTGGCCGGTGCATCTCCGGTCTTACACTTCCAGTCCGCATTTTAATCGCAAAATTATCATCCAAAAAATCATGTGTTCTTAAAAAATTGTGGAGTGTGCTGCCAAATCATGTGGTGGAGTCTTTAGCTAACAATCATTTTGACACCTTCTGATGAAGTTTGATGGTCTGAGACTAGAGCTGTGTACCGGTACGCAGTACCGATACTGTACCAGAAAAATTGATTAGGTACAGGTCCAAAATACCTACTCCCTCAGTACCGGTACTGTACCTAAACAATTTCACACCAATTTTATGCCTATTTGTGACCTCAAATGTGTATAAAGGTGGTTAACAATGGGTCCCTGTGTAAGGACAGCGTGTTCATGAAAACAAAACACTTAGTTTTGCCTATATTTTATCTGAGCATTCGCCATAAACAAAGAATAAACCTTAACTATCAAGTTTATTTATGTTTTTTTGTTATTGAAGGAGTTCAGAAGACCATATAAATTGGTCGAATTGTTCAGGTACAGGTTCAGGTCCGGACCTGTACCTAAACCTGTGTACCTGTACCTGTACCTAAAATTTGTTTAGGTACACAGCTCTATCTGAGACCTAGTTAGTTCAGACACTCCTGCACTGTGTCATGACGCTGATCCATATTAGTCACATTCGTGAAGGAAGAACACATACATACATGTAGACCCCCAATAAGCAGCGTCATACCCAAGAAGAACATTGATTCTTCTTTTACATTGGGACCATCATTTACCTTGTATGCTTGGGTCGTTCATGCCATCAGTCATTAAGCATTACTCCCTCCCATTTATTATATATCATAACATCTCAAATCTCACACCATCTCACATCTCGCTTCAAGTATCCAATTCAAGGCCTCTACTTCATGCAAGTGCAAATGTACATGTAACTTCTAATGATGTAACTTCATAATGTTAGAGATTCAAAGCATTGCCAAAACAATAAATTTATTAAGAAAAAAATGCATTGTTACCTCCATGAAAAATGGAGGTATTGTTTTTGGCGTGTCTGTCTGTATGTATGTATGTATGTATGTGTGTGTGTCTGTGTGTCTGTGTTTCCGCAACTTTGTGGTCAGCATAACTTCAGAACGCCTTTATGAATTATGATGATATTTGGTATGTTGGTTAGTCTTAGGAAGACAAACGTCAAGGTCAAATATGGGCCTCCTGGTGGATGACCTTGGTACTGCAGCAGAACTTCCGGTTTTTGTATCTTTTGTCCTGAATATGCTATGGTCTTGATGTTTGGGTGACAGATTGCTTTTCCTGTCAGGAATAAGTGGTGTGAGTTTGGTCCCCCTAGCAGCTTGTTTTGGAACTGCAGGGCACTTTCTGGCGAAATGTTTAAAAGCCAATAAGTCCAGATAGGAACAACATATTTTCATAATTTTTGGTGTGTAGGTAGCTAAGAGAGAGATGTACATGATTAAATGCAAATTATGCAAATGAGGACTTTATTTGCATAATTAATGAGGAAATTCTATGATTACAGTGTTTTACATTATACTACTTTCATACATGTAATGTATGTAACCTATGGCAGGCAGAACATCAACAGATACTAATTATGCAAATGATGACCTAATTTGCATAATTTATGCAAAAATTCTATGATTTCTTAATGGTGAATAATGGGAATGTCATACTTTGGACATCTGTAAGTTAATCAAAAGTTAACATACATCACGATGCATATATCATGTTAATGCGGAGGTAATTTGCATAATTAAAGAGGAAATTTACATTTACATATCAAGCCCATATTTCATGGAGGTATGAAATCTCGGAATTCTTGTTTCATTCATTGTTGTCATCTGACAAAAGGACAATGGGTTTTCTTACCTGTAATCTGCCCAGTCATGGGATTGACATGGAAGAATTTGTCTGATCCAAAAATGAGACCAAGAGAGGTAAACTGTACACAACTGCATGTCTCTGAAGTCTGGATGTCCTGAAGGAACAGTACCAAAATGCACCATGACTGCCAGAAGAGTTGAGGACTCTCACCACAACTGGCAAGTTACTTTTAATAAGAATACATGTAATATATAATTTTATTATCATAAACCTTTCAAAGCACCACGACGATGACAACAGAATCTAGATGTATTCCATCACTAGTCTGTATAACACAAACTTCACTGTAGATCTGGTAATGCCCCATCACTGCAGAGTTTGTGCGCTGCTTGCTCTAATACAAGCTGGGAGCCGTTCAATGACACAGTTACTGTAACACCAATTGTGGGCCAGGATTTTAGTCAAGCAGTATTGTGTAAACCAGCTAGCTGGTCAGGTCACTAGTGGCCCCTTGAGTGGATGGTGGGCGGGTTGAGAAATGTGATTGTGGCCTACATGTACATGTACATCTGGCCAGGGGGAGTTTAGCTCCTCCTGTACGTAATTTGGAAGGCCTTGATCTCTGAAGCCACTTCAGGAGAAAGCTGTTAATTAAACCATTTAGCTTTCAGGGGCTGACAAAAGTTGAGCTGGCCATTATAAGCGCAATTCATCATGCATATTATATAATAAGTCCTTCACATGAAGTGTACGAGAGTATGATACATGTACTCCTACATGTAGTACTACAAAGTCAGTGCATACAACATGTACATGTAGATTAATGTACATGGCAAGTGATGTACATACAATGCATTTGTCATATATCCTTCTCAGTCAATGCATTCATTCTTCCAAACTTAAGGTAATATTTGAAGTGTTCATTCTTGGAAAGGAAAAAAATATCAAGACTAACCTGCTTCTTACAGAAGTTGTAGGTTTTACTGTTGTACTTCAATACATGAAGAGTGTGCAGGGTAGCAGCACAAAGGTATATGCAGTCATCAACCTAGTCAACAAAGTACAGGCAGTCATTAACCTTTTAATTTCAACATTTAGTACAGGCAGTCATCAACCTAGTCAACATTTAGTACAGGCAGTCATCAAATCTGGTCAACATTCAGTACAGGCAGTCATCAATCTAGTCAACATTCAGTACAGGCCGTCATCAATCTGGTCAACATTTAGTACAGGCAGTCATCAATCTGGTCAACATTCAGTACAGGCAGTCATCAATCTAGTCAACATTCAGTACAGGCAGTCTTCAATCTAGTCAACATTCAGTACAGGCAGTCATCAATCTAGTCAACATTTAGTACAGACAGTCATCAATCCAGTCAACATTTAGTACAGGCAGTCAACAACTGCAATGTTACAAGGTCGACTAGGACTAAGAATAAATTGACCGCAACATTATAAGATCGATCAGGGTGTGTTAGGTATTAAGTGAGTTTTGAGTTAAGTAGTCAAAGTGTGCAGACATAATATTTCTTTGTAGCCCACGGGGAGGAATTTAATCACCAGCCGCAAATTTTCTATATAGCACACAGACTGCATTGTGTCAGACCAGAGTGTTTAATATCTTTTAGTTGCCAAGTTATATTTTGGAAAGAACTGGGATTTTTTTACTAATAAAAAGTTTTTTGCTCTTTTCTCAAGGATGCTGCATGGAGAAAAAAATAATTCTTCCGTGTAACAATATACATTGTACTAGAACATTGCCGTTCGGACGTTGCGCAGACACTAACGTCCCTGTTTGAACGCCTGAACACATACATAGTATTACCTATATTCCTACATACATATTTCTTAAAGTTTCCATTTTGTCCAATTTCACACTTTCTGTAAACTGGGCATGTTTAATATCTGTAACAAACCTTCCCAACTGAAAACAGGTGGCAACCTTCCAGTCCTTCCACAGCCTTAGTCTGTATGGTGGGTACAGACACACTCGCCTGGGCCACCTTAGTCCGAAGGTGTTTCAAGTCCACATGGTACAGGAACCGATCAGTCCCTGAATATGTCAACACAACAGAACCCTTTAACCACCAGAGGTGTCTTCTGATTCTCTTAGTTTAAAATGAACCACACGGAAAGCAGGACTTTACGTATACATTTACCTGGTGCAGGTAAATGTTGCACCTGAATGTTGATATTAATATTATGCAAATGAGATTTTATTTGCATAATTACTACGAAAATGTGATAAAACTATAATAGTGGTAATTGCAGCATTTGTAATTTGAGAACAGTTGAATATCAATTAACATAAATCAAGCAAATCAGGGCATCATTTGCATAACAGATGAGAAAATGCTGCTGCAGCAACAATCTCCTTTGTTAAATCAAGAAATATATAGAGCTATTATATCAATTTATGGTATCAACTCAAACTGTACAACGACTCACTGCAGAAATCGGCATGAACTGTGTATATATTGTAAATAATTCTTGTATGTGTCTTTGTATATGTTTTTTTAGTAGATGTGTTGTGTGAAATATTTCAATGAGGGCAATGTGAAAATTTGTACCCAATTCAGAGGGGGTGCTTTTTGTACTCCCCCCTGCTGATGTACATTTTTTGAGTGGAAAATAATAAAGATAATAAATCACATTTTTATGTATTTTATATGTGAAATTCCTATCCTTTGGTCACATCTCATTTCCTCATTAACAAGAGTTCCACGACCTCATATCTTCCCAAATGATATCAACCCTTCCAGTGGACGATATATACCGGTAGTACATTTTTACTCATTGATTTTGCAAATAAGAGCCTTGTTTACATATATTATATCAGTTGCTCATATTCTCCACCCAATGACAGCCTTATCTTAGCAAAAAAGGCTATAATTATTATATTCTAGCACTTCCTCATATTGGCAAATGAGGCTATGATTTGAATAAATTATGTTTATTGGTGTTCACCTTCACCAAACTTCCAAAAGCACCCAACAGTTAATACTATGGAATTATAGCAATTTTCCATTAATTACGCAAGTCTTGTCTCATTTACATCATCTATATCTTCAGGTGTTTCTCTCCTTCTCAATTACATTTGTCATAAGTGTTTCATAGTCCTATTATCGAACTAAACAGATTTATAGAATTACATTTTAGTTATGCAAATTAGCTCCTGATTTGCATAATTGTCATCTAATTATATCAAGCATCACTTCAGCTACCTACACATACATACCAAAAATTACGACAATTCGTCAACCACATTTTTAGTTATCCTCCTTCGAACAATTTTTAACAAATGCCCCTGCAGTTCCTAAACAAGCCACTAGGGGCCCAAACTCATGACACTTATTCACTAGCTATTCCAAAAGAGCTACCAAACACCCAATATTAGTGACTCTAGCTTGTCCAGAACGCAAGATACATGTCCAGTTCATGGATGCGTTCGAACTAACCGTGAAAGGGAAGGCTATAGTTCTCGTGCCGGCCTATGTGCGAGCTAGTTTGACCCTGATCCGACTGTAACAACTCATGATGCTTGTCACGCGAACTACACACCTTTCCAACAAAAGCAGTGCATTAGTGCATGATTGTCAGGCGTCCTCTTTAGTACGTACACCAAGGAGATTTGATAAAAACCCCTCGCAAACCTCCTTGCGTAGACCAAGTACAAATTTTGTTCAGAAACAAAGCAACATCGATTTCACCAAAACCTTGGTGGCCTATCAACCGTGATTACAGCGGCCTTATGTCACTCTCAAGTTACCGTTTTAACCTTAAAAGGTACAGATACACTGTACGACTTCACAAATAACCACACCTAGTACCTGCCCTATTCTGCATACAGTATGTACAAATGTAGGTGGCATTTTGTACCCTAGAAGGCGAGGTAGTGAAGGAATACCTGCTATCATCAGCATCAAGTCTATCTCCTGTAGCAGCAGCATCTGGAAAACACTCCCCACTCCTCCAATCTGAGTCAAGCTGTTCTTCTTAGGGACAGGAAGAGTTGTGGCAAACAGGCCCTCTTCACAGCCTAACAGCAATGTCTAGCAGTGTTAGGGGAAATCAAAGTCACATCAAATCACATCATTGAACTTTTTGTTCACTTCAGAATTGACACTGTCCCTGTTCATCCTTACAGGAAAAGTACATTAATTTTTTTTTAGTACAAAAATTAGTCAAGTTAAAAACTTCATTAAAAATGTAATAACGAGTAACAGTCAAAATAGACTTCCGACAAACAAATAATTGTTGCTGGTTACTAGCTTTCAGATCATAGTCCCCAACAAAATGCAATTCAGAATAAACTTTTCTACCATATTTTGCCTTAGTATAGTAGAAGTGTTATTAGATGTTGAAGGTTTATGCATATACCGGGTAAAGATTGTTCAAAATGCATTGCATAACAAAATTCCAGAATAGAATATAAAGTAACAACCCTTCTTGTTCTAGTTATCATTGCCAACACATAGAAAATGAAGTAAGACTAGTAGGAGTAAGACTGGCCTGAGTCGTCCGTACCCTGTCATTCAGCAGCAGGCTACTGTTGATGTCTACTCTGCTGTCCCCAGTCAGCTTCATCAGGATGTTTCCTCGCAGTTTCTAAGGAAATGTATATCTTCTCTTCATTACATTCCGTAGAGGTTTGTCCAATTACTGGCTTTAGTTTTACTTTTTGTCAAATAAAATCATAATATTACATTATAATAGTCTATATTATACAACTGTATATACAGGGAACACAATGGACATACTTTACCCTGATTCCATCTATAGTGATTTATCTCTGAGATTGACCAAATATTCATTTAATATTTTAGAATATTACAACTCACATTGATACACACTATTTACTGAGTACATTAACAACATGCCAGCCAAGACAGATCAAACACATTTGCCACAATTACCTGTGAGTAACAGAATTGTCACACATACAAAAAAAATAACTTTGAAATATTAATGACATCTGTGTTCAGCTGCATAAGCAAAAATATGCACTGCCTGTTGTGATTGGAAGAGAGAAGTTGATTTTGCTGCCAACATTTTTGTTCAGGATAACAGATGTTCAAACCTCTGATATATTAAAAATTATTGAACGTATCCTCCCTTCTTCACAGTGCTGCATACCGGTTCACTCTGGACTTGGATCCGGACTTGTAAGAATGTTTAGGTTCAAGTCCAAAAAAAACCGGTTAACCTAAAAGTCAAGAACCGAGTCCGGATTTATTACCATTAAAGAACATTTCACACACCCCTTTTCTTTCCAAACCATCTAAAACCTTCCGTAGATTGCAAAATCTTATGCTGCAAAATGAAGAAAACATTGCCATCGGGCATCATCAAGTACCAGCCTCCATGTTATGTGGCCAAAGTTTCACCCAGACAACATGGCAAGGCTGCCAACATGCAATTTTGTATATGCCATGGGTTTAGGTCCAGAATTACAAATCCGTTACTGAACCTAAATCTCTGGACTTGAATCCGGACCTGAACCTAAATGTGGGTTTAGGTATGCAGCACTTACAGTTCTTCATGCATCGCACAACATGGGAGGCAGTCAAAAAGTAATCCTAGGGCTGACATGATATAAATGTACAACTCCGGACCTACATAAACTTAATTGTCCAACTATTGATGTGTGTATTAACATTCATAAACATTGTCTTTTCTGTGGTAAAAAATTATAGTTGTCATCTTTAAAGAAGGGTTCACATTTTTCTAATCTCAAAAGAAGTTAGTCTGTATAAAGTACATCATACATGTCGTCTATTAAAAGACACTCAACTGTCTTCTTTGTGGAAGTATTTCTTCTAGTCATATAAAGTAAGGGTCCAGTACCTATACTTCAGGGGGGATTTTATTTTGGACCTGGACATATCTATAGGTACAAGACAGTACATTGTTACAGAACTGATTGAGATTGACAATCCTACCTTTCCCTCTCCATCTTGCTCTATGTTGTCTGCTGACACAGCAGCCTCCAGTGCAGCTGCCCAGTGCTGCTTGTCGGGGAAGCTGAGGGCCATGAGGTGCAGAGTGCGACCTGGCCAGCAGGTGGTGCAGGGGTGGGACTCCAGCTTGATGATGTAAGGTAGATCTACAACAACAACAACAACAACAACAACATACAAACTTGGCCTGCAGTTACCATCTGCCACTAGGCCAGAGCTACATTTGTATATACATGTAGCTAAAGCCAATCTGTTTAATTACGGTCAGGGCTCGAAATATATATAGTAAGTGCACTGTGCAAAATGCACATGATTTTCAAGATTTGGACGTAAAAATATTTTGAATGTGCAATTTTGCACCTAGAAAATACCAATATTATGATTGTGCTGTGGAGGAGCATGGAGGGGAGGGGGGCGTATTACAGGAAAAGAAGCAAAAATTAGTTAATTTGAGATAGAGATACAACAATGTAGTTACTATACCATCATATTCTTACCTTGGGGTTGTATTTACAGCAGGATGTAGCTTTAACCCCGCCATGAAAGTATAACAAAGAAGGCCCTAAGAGCGCTGTTTAGTATCAGATCCAGCCTATTTTTCAAAAGCAGTATGTTTTACTTTAGATATCATGCACAATATGCAAAATAAAAATAATTTTAGTGCTTTCAGACTGTTGGTATATTTTCTTTTTGTGCAGTATAAGATGTTTTTAATTTTGGGAAGGGAAGGAAGCTGTATGCTGTGGCAGGCTAAGAAGGTTAACGCTCAGTAAAACAGTTGCAAACCGACTAAATACAATTTTCCACTTAAATTTTCAAATTGCACCTAAAAGTTTTGCCAATGAGCAACTTTGCACATACCCGAAAAAAGTATTTCGAGCCCTAATGGTTGAAACAATGTACAATGTGTCCACACAGACAAAAACACATATTCGGGGTGTCAAATTTTAATGTTTTGAATCACTGAGAAACCTAATAAAACTACTGCAAATATGTAAAGATTTACAGTATATGGGACACAAAATGTGACACCCACTTTAACTATGGCCCTATTAAAGAACTACTAGTTATACATGTACATGTATAACTAACAATTTTTTTTAATTAGACTGTTTTCAAGCATGAAAACAGAGTCTGTGAAGCTGTGAGGTTGTTCTGAACTTCTGTGGGAATCTAACAGCTGCTCTTTGAAGAGCACATAACCACCTCTATATGTATGTACATCACTACGATATAAGAATTAGTAAGAAAGTTGATATGTCTGATATCTATAATCAGGCAGACCTGTCTTGGCAGTGTTGATGAGTTCAGCTGCTGTCACAGCACTGTGGATGGAAATGGTACGGTCCTCAGGGCACAGGTCAAACTCATCACACAGGGTACGGTCAACTGGAAACCAGAATTACATCACACTGTAAATACTGTGCATACTTTGTACACATGTAGTTGTAGAGTGTGAAGATGATTTTGCACACCTTGGTAAATATTGTCTTTACTGCCTTTGAGCAGTCCCAACTCACGGCGGTCGCGTTGGCCAGGTGGTCACCTTGGACAGATCGCTTAATGCTTGCTTCAATAGGGAAAATTTTTGTGATGGGGAAAAAACGGTCACCATAGCCAGGTGGCCAGCTTTAAGAGGTGGTCACCTTTATTGAGGGTTTATTGAGGGAAAACTCTCCTTTAGCTGCCCACCTGAAGGTGGCAGCTATTCTTCCAGGAGAGGGTACATACATGTACATGACATAACAACACATCCCGTACAATTACATATACATTTACATTACATAGTATTTTAAAAGAAAACAAGGTTTGACTGTAGTTTATTAATTACCAAGCACTCACCCTTGTTGTCCATGTCATAAATAAGGAGCTTGCAGCCTTGCAGGGTGCACCATCTCTTGTCCCAGCCCATCTTGTTGTTCCTGGGACACACAAACACACAGCTTCATCATCATAGTTTTGTTTCTTATTGTAAGTTTATTTTCATTTGCACATACATATAAAGCAAAAACCATACAGGTCTGGAGTAAATATAATAATCGAACGAAACAGGATATAAAATAATTAACCTAAACAGAATAGATGTGCTGGAGGAGACAAAAAGCCTCAGGGCTTATTCTTGCCCTCCAAACAATAAAAAGGGTAAATAAACAATAATTATACAAAAAATAGTACTGTGAGTAAACTCATTTCCCACAACAAAATTACATGGTGATATTAGAAACTTAAAGAATGAGGGAAATATTGAACAATTGGTAATTCAGTCGGCTTTATATAATTATTACCTCCGGGGAGGGAGATATCGTTCAGCAGAAGGGTACTGTAAGTTCTCGTGGTTTTCATGTTTGCAGCTGTTTTTCAAGGTGAAGTGGACAGATTAATCTGGGACTCGCTATACGATTTGTTATAATTTTTCAATATTTTAAATATGTGTTTCTGGGCATGGACATAAAACATTTTGGTGGCTTCTGGACAGCCCCCCTTTTCCCTGAAAATGGTCTTGGTTTTATGGCTTGGCTGTTGTTAAGGTATAGCTGGTTTGTTCCATTTTTACCAGGCGTCTGACTTTTTTACCGTGTCTGGTTCCGATAAAAATTAGGTTTTCAATAGAACGCAGGCGCGGGAAGGGGTCGGAGATTAGTTGTTCCAAATGTTAGACATCTGATACAACCAGGTGCAGGTAATGGCAGTGGTGAACTGCTGTATTTAACGTTATTTTAAATGGTTGCAAAATCCAACAGTAGGAAAATTTTCCTTTTTGTAATAGTGTTGTGTACCTCAAAGATGATGTGATATTTGCAACCAGCAAAGAATATCTATACAAACTATAAATATAGTATAATAACTAACAAAAGGCACAAGAATCTTCATCCTATTGAAGGCAGCTTCCTCAAACAAGAGATGAAGAAAAGTGGTAACACCGCCAGTAACACAAACCCTTCACAACTTCAATCATGCCATAACAGCAACTTCATACATAACACAACAGCAATTTTATCACAACATAGCACAAGGTTTTCACACTGACAATGTGAACACAAGGCTCGAAATACTGGTGCATGTGCACCTTACTGCACCCAACTTTAGAGCTGTGCACCCAATATTTTTCTGTGGGTGCACCAACTCAACCAGTGCACCCAAATATTTTTGAAGCGGTATTAAACTGGGCTTAAAAACAAGATAAGATTCGATGACCACAGCACCACGACTCCGTCTTCCCTAACGCACATGTTTTCCTCTCTAACAAAATCTCATTAAACCTGCTAAATCACAACCTGCATAACAACTGTATGCAAGTATTAACAGTACTATTCATTGGCGTAATTATTGCTATGTACGTCATTGAAACCAAAACGATTCGCATCTACTGGACCCCTTTAGCATGTATACCGGGAATCTCTGTGTAGTTGTGATATGTGACACTGTGTTATGTTGGTGTTACCACTTTTGTGTGACTGTTAATATCTATATTATTTTGGTTATCATTTGTACTTTCAACAGCTATTTAACGCATTGTCTAGCTACATTGTACAGATATAGAGACTTAATACTGGCTGTGTCCAGTAATGTATATAATTATGTAGATGTAGAGACACCATATCTTAAAAAAATCCTTTATAGTTATACCTACCTAAGTCTGGAGGTGTATCATGACCATAAACCAAGTTTCATTTTACAGATCTATCATAAGAAGAATTTTACAGTGGTTAACTCATAACATCAGTTTTGGAATCTTGTTTACCTTGGTACTTTCAACCATCCTTCCATTTGCAAGCTGGTGTCATCAGCTGACAGGTTCATGGTAGACATCTGCTTCTTCTTCCTGACTGACATACGAAAATGCTCCACAAACTGTGATGGGAGACCACAGGTGCTGGGAAGGCAACCTGCACACTTGGCATGGCACACAGCTTTGCATTCTGTTCAACAAAAAACAAGATGTAATGAGCATGAAAGGTAATCGAGGGTTAATGACCCACTGTGAGGTATCATGAGGCCTGGTCATTCCCTACATGTATAAGCACCGATTGAACGTTGAAGATTGAATTTCATTTTGTTATGGAATGCACTAAATATGATGATTTACGTAATAAGCTATTTACATTTCTGGAAACAAGTACAACTGATTTCAAGAGTCTAGATGCTAGAGACAGACTTGAATACACATGTATCTTTACATGTAATGCATGATTCCCACAATGCAAAAATAGGTTAATATAAAATATTAATTATATAAAAGACAGCATTGTTATTAGAAAAGATACCAAAACTCGTGATAGCTCCACTCGATTGTAACACTTACTAGTAAACAAAGTCTTGTGCTAGCCCTTATTGTTTGAGTAATTACTAGATATATTAGATTTTATTCTACATTAGATCTTATTCAACACATATATTTTACTTGTTTGTCATATATGTACTTTGCCATCCATTGTACCATAAGCAATTCTCGTGCAATAAAGTTCTTTTTGTAATAGGAACTGACCAGGTCTTATGACACCATATACACTGAGGAACAGGCAGCAGGGCTCAAAATACCCACGTGCAATGTGCAAAATGCACAAGATTTGGATGTAAAAATATTTTGAATGTGCAATTTTGCACCTGGAAAATATCGATATACCACGTTTGTGCTGTGCTCCCAGAGCAGGAGGGGAGGGGGGTGCCTACATCAATTTTGCATCCACATAGCCTAGCGGCGACCAATGGGTGACCAGCATTCCGCGCCACGCCCACTTTGCGGTCGATTCCATTCGACAATGGGGTTGAACAGCATCCTTCCTTACGGCGCGGCAGGTAGTCGGAGTTGGAAATGTCAGATAAACAATGTAAGAATTGGTGTATTTGGGGTGAAAATAATGCAAGTAACGAAGTAACGGGTTCCTTTCTCAGCACTCGGTATACAGAGTTGAGGCGGCTTCCGTCCTAGATCTCCAGTGCCGAATTTACGTCAACACTTGGTGTGTCGGCGGATTCAGCACTGGAAACTCGTAATCGGCAAATCAAACCTTGTCTTTACAAAGGGTATCGAGATGCTGCCACTCATATTTTCGAGATCATACCGCCTGGGTAACATACATGTAGTTCAATCGGGACAACAAGGTTATCGGCAGGACAGGACTGCACGGCCTCTTTTCTTACATTTTCACAGACAAAGACTTGGCCTAAGATACTGTTTTGTACGCCGCCAGCCGACGTAAGCACCAGAAGCCCAGTGCCGAAATGGTTTAACTCGGCTCGGTAGTTATTTTGCTCCAACTATTCAAAGACACAGAATTTCAGAAAACAATTTACAAATGTATCTTTTGAACAAGTTTGAGAAACATCTTTTTCAACCATATCTTGCTAAAGCGCGGGTTGTGGGTGTGGCCGAAATGCTGCCCGCCTATTGGTCCCCGCTAGGCTGGCTTGGATGGGAAATTGAGGTTCCGGAGGGGGGGTGCATTGCAGGAAAAGAAGCAAAAATTAACTTCTTGATGTGCCGTATAAAATGTCTTTAATTTCGGGAAGGGAAGGAAACTGTATTCTGTGACAGGCTATACTCAGGTTAACACTCAGTAAAACAGTTGCAAACTGACTAAATATAATTTTGCACGTAAATTTTTCAAATGGCACCTAAGATTTTTGCCTATGTGAAATTTTGCACATACATGAACTGAAAAAAAAGGATTTCAAGCCCTGGGCAGGCCATTAATGTAACAATATAGCCTATACAGACTACTCTTGTTTTCCATCTGCACTTCCTTTAACTGCATGGTCAAGGTGCTGTCCATTCAAACAAGCAAATCCAGTATGTACAATGCATCTTCTTGCCATCGGTCATTACTGGACGCCCCTAAGCCTAGTATCAAGTCCAAATCTACTTCGTGGAGATAAGGTTGAATTTTGTTGCACATTGTCTATTTGACGCACACTCCTTGCAAAGATGGTGGGCAAACTCAAAAAAATCCCTGTCTGATCTCATGCCCAGAGGCACTGTGAATCCGCAATGAATATGCACATACATGTACAGTGACATGCATGTACTCATATAGTGCACTCATACTGTGTTTGATCAATGCGGGACCGATACATTGCCTAATAGTAGTATATACATGTATAACTAATACATGACCTGTGTAACAGCATTATATATATTATATATGCAGCATAGTTTTTGCATGCACAAAAGACCAGCCAACAACTAGCTACCCCAGTGTCAGGAACACCACATACATTACTACATACATGAACAAGCATTACACTGTTTGTACAATGTATACTCACCATGGCATTTTGTGGCTTGTCTACCAAAGTGGATGGTGTCCAGACAAACTGCACACTTGGCCCCCCTCATGCTGATACCAGTGTGGAATCTATGTGGAATGTTGTGGTGCATGCGCTCCTTAGGTCTCCTAGCAGAACACTGTGGAGACTCGGGACCTGTCTGTGGAAAGGGCCGGAAAATATTTGTAAATAATTTTTCAGGTACTAGTAGTTATATTATAGGACATAAGTTCTTAGAATAACAACAAAATGTAATTTTCACATGAATGTACATGGTTCAAATACTACATTGTGCAGTTGAACCTTGTATCCATTTTGTTTGCAATTGGTGCAACCTACATATAAATGTGCCATGTGCTACTTATTTTTGCCAGGGAAGATTACATCTCTTGTTCGAATGACCTGCTCAACAACGCTGGCTATACAGTACATTTTGTATATAGGAGAATATTTGCCAGGGGAGTTTGGCCGCCTTCGGGGTTTGACTAACTTCTAAGGGAAAGAACCAACCTTCCCAGGACTGACTCCCCTGGCTAATATTACTAGTACTCTCCTTTTTGCCAAATGCGACGTTCCGTATTCCCATAGAATTAGGCCTGGTAGAGGCTAGATTTATGGCAATGAAAAGCACTTGCGTTACTATACCAAACACACAGGGCTGCAGCAGACCAGGGTTTCAACTCAGTCTGTTCTTTGTGAGGTGGAGGATTGGAAAAAAAATTAATATTAAAATAACTTTTTGTCTCTTTCCTTATTTTAATTAGGCTGCAAATGAAGTGTGGGGCATAAACGCTTTTTTTTATCTTGAAAATCAACAGTTTACATTATGCAAATAAAAATACTAACCAATAATGTCTAGTGGTGATAGCTATCCAACTGATGTATTCTTAGTTATATGGTACTTCATACTATTGTTAAATCAATGTAAAACATTGAGTCTTCCCTACCCCGGTAATATCCTACTGTGCACGTGGGTCAGTCATCCCGAGGAGAACATTTGTAGCATTATCTCATTGTGGTAAAATAAAGGTCAACCTTTTCCATACTCCTCTGACTGTGATGAGTCATTATGTTTTCCCCCAGAATACAGTAACTACATTTAGGCCACAGCAAGTAATTTTTATGGATGACATCAGCGCGCGCATTAATTTTTGCCTGATTTTGGAAAAAAAAAAGAAGAAATTTTGTTGCCTTCTGACAGTGGTCAACATGCCAAAAATGAGCAAAGATGCCTGTTGCCATGCCGGAAGGTTAATGGCAGATAACCACGAAGAGGGGAGACAAGAAAAGGCTCTGATTTAATGGTTTCTTTCTTACTCTCATCTGCCGAATAAACATACCCCCCGGAATAAACGTACCCCCCAGACAAATCTTCAAAATCAAATAAACATACCCCCGGAATAAACGTACCCCCCCGGAAAATTACCAAAATTGACAGGTAACCTGTGTCTCTTGTACTAAAATGCGCCCTTACTGATATATGCACAAATCTTTAACTGTTATTTGCAATTAGGAATTTAAATAGACCAAAAAAAAGAGCATTTAATATTTCGTATTTTGATAAGCACCACCCATGACAATAGAACATTCAGACGAATTTATGCACGCGGTGACTGCAAAAACCGGCCCGAAAATGACCCGAAAGTTTCTCGCTACAATACGTGTTTATAAACGTCTTCACGTCGATGATTTGTCAATTTTTTTCACACGAAGTTGAAAAAAATTACTGGTTTTCAAAAAATTAATAAACGTACTGTGCAAAATAAGAACGTACTGGGTGGATGTTCGGGCCCAAAAAAATAAACGTACCCGTACGTTTATTCGGCAGATGAGAGTACTTTGATGCAGTGATATGTGGTGCTGGCTGTGTATATGTGATGTTCCAATGAATTTGAGTCAAAATTTTAAATTGTAGGAACCTTGTTTTTTTTCGCCCGCTCTCATTAGATTTGGAATCTGCGGAGGATGTCATCCATAAAATTTACTTGCTGTGGCCTTAGCATAACATACCTGTGTGTTGTGAGTGTCCTTCAGGGAGCTGGGCTGCTGACTAGGAGACATGACAATAGCAGACAGAACTGTGCTGGACTGGGCCTCTGACATGGACGGTCTACTTGGCTACAAGACCCTGCTGCAAGGACATGTACATGCCAAGTAGAATTTGTGCACATTAACTGGGTGTTAATTTTGTAAAAATGCAAAGTAAATTAAGTTTATAGCTATGGCTTGTAGGTCTTGTAGGCTGCTATTTTGCAATTCCATTCTTCAACCAGTATTCTTGCAAGTATTTTTATTTTACATTGGACATGTGTGATTTTATATCCTTACAATACAGTCAATTGCAGGGCTTGAAATACAGTCAAACCTGTCCAAGACAAACACCTAATAGTATATATAGCTATGGGACCAAGGAAAAGTGGCCTTCTCAGACAAGTGCTCTTCTTATACAAAAAGTCTGATGACAAGGAAAGACAGAGAACAAGAAACCTGCAGCAAATTTTAGAGTTTCACCGATCTTACAGTAGACCGTGCCATAGATCCAAAGTGACCCAGCCTGAACCATTTTAGATTGTGCGAAGACTGTCATGCTGCCAAAATCGATGACAAACTGGCCGATTCCATCAAGACCTCTCGCTAAATGCATTATCAAAAAACATTTTCTGACACATGCTTAAACATGAAATGGCCGTCATAGGAAAGGGCCATTGAGCAAGTGGTTGGCGTAGGCAAGTCCATTAATGGGAAAAAGTCTATTGGGAAAGAATCGGGACCTAGAAAAAGCGGCAATCATGGCCAGATGGCTAAGTCTAGTAGGTTGTCGCTTCAGCAAGTTTGACTGTACTATGTATTATAGATCAAATGTCTGCAATATGTGAGTCATCTGCAAACTATGCACAAAGGGCTCCATTGGAAATCAGTCTGATTCACTGCAGGAACTCCATGATTGTGTATAAAAATTATCTGTAAATAAAATAAAATAATTCATGAAATGAAATATAAACTATATTACATGTATGTCTTTCTGCATTGCTAACCATGAGGAAAGATATAGTGTACCCACCATGAGTAGAGATGGTACTGTAGAGTTGTGCCTTCAGCTGGCTGATCTGCTGCTGCAGGTCACAGCTGTGCTGTTTCTCCTGCTGCAGTCTTTGCTGCAGTTCCTTGTACTGCAGCGGCATGGCTGCGGGCGGGGCTGCTGTATCCTTTCCCTTGTGAAACAGGCCCAGGACCTGATGGGAAGATACATGTACAACAGGACCATTCCCAACAAATTCAGCAGCTGGTTGACTAGCAAGGATCATTAAACAGACCACTTTGCTATGCGCATATGCATCTTTAAACCATGGCCTCAGTACATGTGATGTTTGCCTAGTTTAGACCACACCGACTTAATTTTGTGGATGACATCCTCTGAAGACCTCCAAACTAGTGCGCGCGGGTGAAAAAAAGAAAAATCCGGCAAAAAAAAAATGCTACTAAACCACTGGAACACAAAGCTGGTATTGTGAATTTGGCGTATTACATACATTTTGTAGCGACGTATACGACAGGCCGGCACATGCTGGCTTTTTGCGAAATTTATGAATCAACACTGTACGTATGTACTGAGTTCTTGAGTCATGGAACTTCGGTAGCCTGGGTGCCGTCCTCCAGAGTTACCACCGTCTTCGTTGTCGCTAACCACCATGGACTTAACCCGGGCCTAAAGCCAGGCCAGAGCCTCGGAAGACGTGATCTTTTTTTTTTGAGATCAGGCGAAAATCATGCGCGCGTGGATGTCATCCATAAAATTAGGGCAGTGTGGCCTTACATATGCAAAATAATCATGTCATGAATTTGCAACTTGAATTTGCAATTTGAACTTGTACAACATTATAATGGACACAGTATAAACTCTAATGTGTCAAACTGGTACAGATTCTACACATTTTTGTACGATTTAAGACTTAGTACATGTAAATAGAGGCAGCGACCAAAGTGTGCCGTATCATCTTGGCAGTATAATCAAAGCCCGTATGTATGTATGTATGTACGTATGTATGTGTGTGTGTTTGTATGTACATTAAATGTTGTATGGTCAAGTGTGTATGTATGTACAGTACATTAAATGTTGTATGGTCAACTCTCCACTGGGAGATCACCCAGAAGAAAGTCAATGTTAAGACACAAGGATGAGTACAAATCAGCCCTCCAAGACTTGTCTATTTAAGTTGGCTGGGCAAAGGAAGCCATGAACAAAAGCAAATTGAGGTCAGCTGTAAATGCTGCTCTCAGTCTGAACTATGAAAGAAATTCTTGAAAACAATATTATATATATATAATAATACTTAGTACACTTAAGTTAATAGTGAAAATCTTGTAATAAGCATGTTTTGATGCATACCTTTTTCTTCTTGCCTGTACCATCTGTCTTTGCCTGTAGAAAGTCAATCAGCTTTGTCTGCTGTGCTATGGTGGACATAGTCTTGACTGATTCATGGGAGTGGGTCATCTGCAAGATGTTTCATATAATTTAAGAAGCTTAATCTTCATTCTACACACATGCAGGGAATATATGATATCAATGTTCTTCACATTTAACCACCTGTACAAAACTTTAAACATGTAAATGGACCGTTTTTTTTAATCTAAAGCTGGGGTTAGATTTGATCCTCTACTGGAGATTTAGGATGGTTTTCAGATCTGCCTGTCACTGGTGTTCTTTATTTAAGTTCACATTACAGATAAATTGTATGGTTATAGAGGGTTCAAAATTAACTCTTTGACTATAGTCAAAGATAGGAGCACTGATAATATCGAAGCACACCACCAGAAAAAGATCATCCTAATAATATATAATTGATGTTAACTTGCAAAACTTCACACAAAAATGTTTAATTTCTATCAAGAAGACTTGAGAAAACACAAAAGTGTATTGTATCACTTATTTCTGCCGGCAGCACATTCAACATACATTGTATTTACTCATGTCAGCCTATATAGCCTTGTTCTGCAGTCCATTATCTAGGCTCAGGCCTTGAATTCTGCCTAATTTTGACAGGTGTACCTACACTGTATGTGACCATCATTTCAAATCAAGTCACAAAGCTGTTTTTCCAATTGTTTTAGTCTAAAAAAAACAAACAAGGTGAACATCACTATTCCGTATGTCCAAGGAGTATCTGAGAAACTAGAAATAAACACAGTCCTCACTAGTATGGCTTCCATCTGATTTTCCAGATCGGCCTTCTCTGTCTGTAGATGTTCTCCTCTCTCCTCGGCAGTCTCCAGTCCCTGGGTCAGCTGGAAGTTTATGGCCTTTAGTGATGTCACCTGGTCCTGTAGCTTCACATTCTGATAAAATATCAAGTTTAAATATGTTTAAAATTTAAACTTTCACTCCAACACAAAAGATTGTTCTCAAAGCTTTCTCCCCGTCACTCAAATCTTCTGCAATAGACAGAGGATACTTTTGACCAAAGTCTCACCAAACCATTGAGGAAGAATGAATGGTCAAAAGCTCTACAAATGCTGGTGAGAACTGTTGTGTTGGAATAAATGTTTTTACTTTAAGCATGTAACTAGCAACACAGATGAACTTTCATGATAAAATTTAAACATGTTATTTACTATCAGATCTGTCAACACAGAGTGTTAGAATGCACAGTAACTGTTGCAAGCTACAATTCATCAAGTACAAGCACATTGTGCAATGTGTACGCACACCAAATAACATCACAGTAACTCCATTAAGGGTGCATACTAATTTTGAGCTTCTTTTACAAATCATTCAATGAAACATACTCAGCTGAAATCTGTCAAAAATGGGAAAACACTGAAGCCTAATTCAAGTCAACTGAATTTCCATGTCCTGCAAACACTGTAAACTAAAATCCATCAACATTTTTGTTGGTATTTTAGCAAAGAGGTACTTTGTAACAATGCAAACATAATTTTGTGTATCATACATAATGCATAAGCATATTCATCATCATCTATCGGCTAACAGCCGGGACTAAGCTAGTGCAGATTTCTTTCCATACAGCCCTATCAAGCATTACATTTTCTAAGTCATCAAAGTCAATTCCAGTGTCTCTAACTAAGGTATCGGTGAATGTCAAACTTCTGGAGTGCACTCGTCCACGTGGTTTCCACATGAGTACAGATGAAACAATTTCTTGCTTGGCTCGGAAACAATGTCCAGCGAACATAACTCGACGGTGGGTGAGTTTTTGAGACAGTCTTGGGAGTCCTCCATAAATTTTTTCGAGAGTGGCATGTTGCCTCCAAGATATATTCTGTGCCCTCCGCAAGAGTTTTGTATAAGTCCCGTCCAATCGTTTTTGAAGCTGACAGGTAAGTGTCCAACTTTCTGCACCATAAAGCAGTATCGGTTCTACAAGGGTAAGAAAAACTTGGACTTTCAATTTGTTAGGGATATTAGACTTCCAGATCTTATCCAATTTGTTGCATGCTTCCCATGCTAGGGCTTTTCTAGTTTCAAAATCTTTCCTTGGGCACATAATGAAGGAACCAAGGTATTTAAAGTTTTCTACTTTTGTAATGAGTGCCCCAGACAATGATCTCAGTTCTAATGGTCCAGAAATGTTACTGATGTATTCAGTTTTTGATTCATTACAAAAAAGCCCCACAAGGGATGCAGCTTCTTCTAGGGATTGAAGCAATGTTTCTGCATTTTTAATCAGTTCAGCAACCAGCGCAAGGTCGTCTGCAAAGTCCAAATCAGTGAGATATTGGGCAGGGTGCCTTCGACTCCTGCACGGTTGGATTTCTATACCCTTGTCTTCATTTACGTCTAGCGATATTCGTAATACATAATCAAGTACAATGATAAATAAATATGGTGCTAAAGTATCACCCTGGAGAACTCCAGTAACTATCTCAAATGAACTAGTCTCACCATCAGGTGTGATCACTGAGGCTATAGTATCTCTATACAGGGCCTTAATTGCTTGTATAAAACAATATGGAATACCGTACATTGCTAGAATTTCAAACATCACATCTCTATCGATGGAATCGAATGCCTTACGGAAATCGACAAACAGTAATACAAAATCCCTATTACATCTCTTCAACTCTTCAATTATTCGCCGTATTGCAAGAATCTGTGAAATTGTTGACCTCCCTTTTCTAAAACCATTTTGGTTCCTCCTAAGAACAGGGTCTATTACAGGGGTTAGGCGATTGAGTAAAAGTTTGTTGTATATTTTTGCAGCAATAGGAGTAAGTGTAATCCCTCTATAGTTGGAGGCAGACGTTAGGTCGCCTTTTTTGGGAATGGGAACAATTCCTCCTTTTAACCAAGATGACGGTGGTCTATGATACATGAAGGTTTGGTTACACAAATACAAAAGAAGGTCCTTGAAAACTGGGTCTTTCCAAATGATGGCAGGTATATTATCTAACCCTGGGGATTTGTTGTCATGCAGAGATCTCAGAATCAACTCAAGTTCACTTGGGGTGAAGGCATCTGTTACTATGTCCAGATCTTCCGCAACGGGTGACATCTTAAGTTGCTTCGCAGATGGAGTCCTCGTAGATGAACCCAGGTAGGGTATTTGAAGTGTGCTAGCCAGTTGTCTTTCCTCTCTTCAGGAGAACCCCCCTTTAATTTGACCGTTGGTTTGGATTTCCGACCAGTTAGTTCGTTGATAGTTTTCCAGGCAGCATCATGTTGTTTCGTGACATGAAGATGAGCAATGCGACCTATCTTTTCTTGGATGACTTCTGCTTCAGCATAAGCATATTAAAGTATTATGAACAGACTATTTTATGAACAGACTATTAGAAGAACCCGTGTACATACCATGAGTGTGATAGAACATGGATGGGTTTACCTCTTCTGTAATTCTGTCATTGGTGCTCTTCTCTTGAGCAAGCTTCCTCTGTAGCCCATCATTGGTCAGCTTGATCATCGCTAACTTCTTTCAGACTCATTCAGCTGCAACAATCAATGCTTCTAGTTAGGTGAGATCTGCACCAATATGCCAGGCATTAAAGCTACTTACATCCTAAGATAAACCTCTATGTAAAAGGGAATTACAAATTGGATTACACATTAGGTCAGTGACCTATGGCAGGCAATACGTTATGTTTTACCATCAGGCTGTGTACCTGTGTTGGACGGTGTTCAGTACTAAGGACAGGTGTATTTACCTGTGTTGGACGGTGTTCAGTACTAAGGACAGGTGTGTTTACCTGTGTTGGATGGTGTTCAGTACTAAGGACAGGTGTGTTTACCTGTGTTGGATGGTGTTCAGTACTAAGGACAGGTGTTGTTTACCTGTGTTGGATGGTGTTCAGTACCAGGGTCAGGTGTGTTTACCTGTGTTGGATGGTGTTCAGTACCAGGGACAGGTGTGTTTACCTGTGTTGGATGGTGTTCAGTACCAGGGACAGGTGTGTTTACCTGTGTGTGGATGGTGTTCAGTACCAGGGTCAGGTGTGTTTACCTGTGTTGGATGGTGTTCAGTACCAGGGACAGGTGTGTTTATGGTGTTCTGTGTTGGATGGTGTTCAGTACCAGGGACAGGTGTGTTCACCTCTATGTGGATGGTGTTCAGTATCAGGGTCAGGTGTGTTTACCTGTGTGTGGATGGTGTTCAGTACCAGGGTCAGGTGTGTTTACCTGTGTTGGATGGTGTTCAGTACCAGGGACAGGTGTGTTCACCTCTATGTGGATGGTGTTCAGTATCAGGGTCAGGTGTGTTTACCTGTGTGTGGATGGTGTTCAGTACCAGGGTCAGGTGTGTTTACCTGTGTGTGGATGGTGTTCAGTACTAAGGACAGGTGTGTAACCTGTGTGTGGATGGTGTTCAGTACTAAGGACAGGTGTGTTAACCTGTGTTGGATGGTGGTCAGTACTAAGGACAGCTGTGTTAACCTGTGTGTGGATGGTGTTCAGTACCGGGGACAGCTGTGTTTACCTGTGTTGGATGGTGGTCAGTAATAAGGACAGGTGTGTTTACCTGTGCTGGATGGTGTTCAGTACCAGGGACAGGTGTGTTTACATGTATGTGGATGGTGTTCAGTACCAGGGACAGCTGTGTTTACCTCTATGTGGATGGTGTTCAGTATCAGGGTCAGGTGTGTTTACCCATGGTGTGTGTATGGGGGGGGGGCTGTTCAGTGGGTCACATTGTGTCTTTATGATTGATTTGATGACCTTACATCCTCCAAAAACTTTCTCCCCTCGCTCATCGCTGTCCTGCAGGTTTTGTTTGCAGACGCTGCAGCTGCTGCTGATGACAGGTGATGGCAGTTTCCATAGCTTCAGTCAGCCGCTCCAGCTTCTCCTCTGCACCACTTCTGTAGTCAGAATGTTAACAGACAAAGTTAGTTCTTCACTATAGTGAAACTAGTAAAAGACTAGTAAAAGACTTCTGTACAAACCGAGGACTGATTGGGAATTGTGAATTATTATGACTTCACCACCTAGTGGTGAAGTCATATTGTTTTTGCTGACATTTCTTTTTCTTCTCCTCCTCCTGCCATTTTTTAAATTGATTCAACTCCTTCATTTTTGGGCCAAATAACATAAAATTTGGCATGAAGGTACACTGGCCAAATACCCCTTTAAAAATTTTCTTGGTACAGGCTTTTATAATGGTTTTATTGTGACTTTTTGTTTGTGTTATAGGTAATGTACTGTAGCAGTGTGTTTTGCCAAGATTTGAGTGTGACCATATTTGGGCATATGGCCAATGCCCAAATATGGGCAGCAGGTGCACCCTGTTTGGTGATCTGGTCGCTGATTGGCTGTTCCATTAATTACTGTACTGCTAAATGAACACCTGTGTAGGCTTCCACATACTTATAATAGGAAAAGTTACTTTGTTTTTTTACAAGTATTAGCCACGAAAATTAAGTCTTTTTGGTTGTAAATCAGTAGAAACATGTCATATAACCTACATTTCTATAACCTTGCTATTTTGAAACCAATTTTAAAATTCTAAAACCAGATAAGTTGCTTTCCTCTATTCTTCTTGCTTATTGGCTGTTGAGATCTAATTGGGTTAACTGTATTAACATCTGCACATACATGTGTAGTCATACCATGTTGATAGTATTGAACTGCATTCAAGTGTTTTGGGGTAGAGATGTAAAACTTTCCTTCTCAAGCATTGGAATGCGGGACATAAACGCTTTTTTTAATCTTGAAAACCAACAGCATTATGCAAAAAAAAATCCTAACCAATAATGTAGGAGATAGCTATCCAACTGTTGCAGTCTTAGTTATATGTCACTTCATACTATATTTGTATCAATATAAAGCATTGATTTCCCTTGTATTTCTCCTTCTTTCCCTGCCATGTCATGAAACATGGTGAAGTCATGCTACATTTGCTCCAAAGCAGATGTCGGCCTTTCTAGTTTTGATGCTCAAAAGTGCAAGGGTTACCCTGATGTATGCACCAGGACAGGTGTGTTTACCGTGGATGGTGTTCAGTACCAGGGACAGGTGTGTTTGCCTGTGTTGGATTGGTGTTCAGTACCAGGGACAGGTGTGTTATCTGTGTTGGATGGTGTTCAGTACCAGGGACAGGTGTGTTTGCCTGTGTGTGGATGGTGTTCAGTACCAGGGACAGGTGTGTTCACCTGTGTTGGATGGTGTTCAGTACCAGGGACAGGTGTGTTAACCTGTGTGTAGTGTGTTGAGGGTGTTCAGTACCAGTGACAGGAGTGTTTACCTTTATGTGGATAAGTATGATGCACTGCCTATGCACATGTAACTGGCATCTATGCAACAGCAGAAGTTCTCACAAAGGCTCCTTGAATTTGGTACCTTGAAACTTTTTCAGTGTGGATCTCCCCCTCCATGTCCTGTAGTTTAGTCTCTACTGAAAGTGTTTTTCTCTGCAGGCTGGCCTTCAGTTGCTGCCAGCTGCGCTCCCTTTCCTCCAACTCCTCATTAAGAGACTCCAGGGCTTCTATCTGTTCTTCTAGGGTGGTGCAAGTGGTCTTCAAGACATCGATATTCTACAGAGGAAGACAGAGAAGAGTTAATTGATGGAAACTCTTGTCACTCACTCATTTATATATACTACATTGTATACACTGCATCCCGCAAGGAACAAGTTTTCTACTTTACAGATCCATGTACATGTAGAATGGTGTTTGAAAGCTGTAACCTTGACCTAAGATGTGACTGTGCAAAATGTCTGACAGAGAGGGTTAGGACGTCTGTCTTCATGTGACTCAATACGGCAGTAATTTCTTCCATTACAATCTTCTATGTATCTGTTGGGGTTGTGTGTTGTAACGGCAATGTTTCGCTCAGACCCTGGAGGTCTTTAGTTCAAATCCTGCCATGTCACCTGATCTTGTGTCCTTGGAAAGGAACTATCCTCTCTCCACCCGAGGTGTAAACAAAGTGGGTATCTGACCTCCGTAGGGGAGGCAAAAAGGCATTGGTCCAATACTGTGCCCTAGACACAGTGGATTAACAACGTGCCCTTATGACCTGAAAAAACCTTTACCTGTTATATCTGTGACACTCCTCTGGTTCATTTTTGCTTTCCATAGTTAATAGCGTCTGTGTGGTGTAGTGGATAGAGCCTTCGACTGTCAAGCAAGAAGACCCAGGTTCAATCCCCAGGGTTGGACCCAGACATGTCTGGACATGCACCCAGACGTTGTGCCCTTGGGAAAGGCACTTACAGGGTAACTGTAAAACCGGGCCCCGTCAAGACCCCGCGGGGCGCCCCGTCGGGGCCCCGTTTTTGGAGTGATCTGACAATATGCAACAAAATAAGGTGTAGACGTTTTCCGACAGCGAGCAGAAGTTTCTCAGGTAACAACTTACGAATATGACGGTAGTGTTGACAAAAACGTAAAACCTTACATGTTACATGTCATGTAGCTTGCGACGTTATTTACTTCACGTCGGCCACCCCCTCCCCCTCTGTTTTGGCGCCAGAAAATAGAATTTCTGATTCTTCTTGAAACATGTATATATTTTCCAAGGGCATTATCCTTGATATTTTCTAATGTATTTTCTGTAATAAACTACGCACATATAATAAATTACGCACCCCGGTTCGTTCAGACAGACGCGGCCACCGCGCCAGCCAGCTGAAAAATCCAGGGCAAACCCCACGTACTAGTATCTCGCTCTCTCCCATAGCTTAGTCAGCCGTCGGGGCAGCATGTTTGGCCAAGTTCTTCCACTGCTGGCGGTCCTCCGCCAGTCTGGCCATCTGGTTGGCTGTTAGACTAGTCCACTCTTTTAAGTCCGTTATCCATGACCGACGGGGACGTCCCCACGGCCGTGCGCCTTCCACCTTACCCTGGAGAACTGTATGTGACAGTGTGCCTTTGGCCCTAGACACATGTCCGAACCACTGTAACTTTTCTTCTTAACTGTGGCCAGGAAGCTGTCGAGTGGGCCTTGCAAGGTGTGAATGCGTTCCATGACCTCTTTGTTTGTAGTGTGTGATGTCCAGTGAACCCGTAGCAGTCTGCGATAACCATTTCAAACGCATTGATTCTCTTCACTATAGCTGCATTCAAAGTCCATGTCTCAGCACCATACAAGAAAATAGATAGCACAAGACAGCGTAGTAGGCGTATCTTTGTTGGCACGGAGATGCTATGACTGCACCAGATGTGTTTTAGCTTTGACAGTGCAAGGGTTGACTTGGCAATCCTGACTTACACCTCTTTGTCTGAGCTGCAGTCTTCTGTCTGGACAGAGCCGAGGTATGTAAACTCACTGACCTTCTCCAGTTCTAGTATACGTATGCTATAATGCTACCCGTCTTTTGAAGTCACAATCTCATCAGCACCGACATCGACGAAAGGTAAGACCAACACACTGGGTGGAACGTACTATCTCGGCAATGAAGACTACGGGCGGATAAGGTTTGTATATAAAATTAAAGTTGAAATTAAATGTATCCCGATTATATATGAACTGACTAATGTAAATCTATACCATTTTTTTGCTTAATTAAAATGATTAGCAGCATCGTGCCGGCAAATTAAAGTCCCCGCCTACCGAAAGGTGCCGCTTTGTGTAACCAGATATCATACTAGTATCTTCCCGCCAAGTATGCAAATCTTGCAGGACATCTTCGTGATACGCCTTTCTGATTGGTTGTTCCCTTTGCAAGCGGCCGACACGCCGAGAATATTTCTTTGAAACTGTAACACTTACAATAACAATATGTAATACATATACTACCAAATAATAAACGTACAAATGCATTATTCAAATAATCTTTCGGAAAAAATGTATTTGTATGCAGATTTTTTGGTGTTTGGGGCACAATTTTGGCGTTCAATCCATCGGGAAGTGTGAAGATATCATCAGCTTGGGTTTCGTCCCGCTATCAAATATATAACCCTGTAACAATTCTGATCGCAGCAATTATGTTGACAATTCAAAATATTTGTGGATATACATGTGCATGTTCAAGATGTGCCCGCATTTCAGTTGCCCGGGAATCGGCGTGGGTGCGGCGTGCACCGGGCACACTACATTTCTTTGTTGGGCGCCGTGCACAACAGCATTCAGCTTTATTAAATCGCTATTTGGTGTGTAATAATATTATTTTTGGTATCAGTAGATAGAACTATAATGCTCCTAAATACCCAACGATATATGGATATGAGTATAGGGGTACGTACGTTTACGTACTGAGTCTGCTTGCTGACGGACGGGGGAAGGTTGAAGATTTTCGCAAGGTCAGCGGCTGTCTTGGTATCGTATGATATTCCTTTTGAAATCTCAATTACAATTGTCATCTCTACATGATATATCTACATATGATACATTCCTTTATTGGAAAGGAGTCGCTTTCAGAGCAAGACGTGGGGTTTCTGCTCTCCCATCCCTCAGTCTTTTTAGTTTGTTTTATTTGGTGTTTTACGAGCCTAAACGGGCTCCCTGGTTTTACTAGGACGTTCTTTTATTGACCGACTATCCGGCACGTTCATTTTCTTCATGAACCTTTTCGTTTGGATCACTCTCCATTGGCTCGATCTCTGAGGGTGCCCCCCTCCCCCTCAGCCATGACAAACTGCGAAGTCTGCAAGGCCGGCGGAGCTCGGCTATGCCAGGGAGACCTCATGCTTTGCTCCAGGTGTGCTTCTAACACTACTGGTAGATCTTCGAGCTGCGGTGACGCTGATGCTAGCAGTAATGCTTGTGACCGTTCCAAAGTTATCGTGAATGATCTGCTGTGTTACGTCGTAAACAAGATGGACGCCGCACCAAACGACCTCATCGTGAAAGTTTGCTGCGAGACCTATACGAGGAAGAAATTGAGATCAGTAAAAAACTGGTCTACGCTCTCTGCAACCCGACGGACAGATACAGGAAACGGCAGGGTGCCAACAAGAACACGTCTAATATGTTGGACATCCTCAAACCCTGCACTCGACTCCGCCGGCACAGGTGCCGCTGTTTGCCTCAGTGCATCTTCACCTCCCAGCTGTTGACTTGACCAACATGGACGTTTCACTGTGCCTTCAGGAACTAAGGTTAGTCAGGCAGGAGATGGCAACTATCCGAGAAGCCTCTCAGGATAACGTCGGGCTTAGATCCGAACTTTCCAAAAGCATGGCGGACAGCGCACGACTGGTCGCGAACCTTGAATCCGAGCTTTCCTCTCTTCGGAAGGAAGTGCAACTTCTCCGTGACAACAAACACGATCACCTGAACCAGGCCCCTAACAGTGACAGTAACGAACAGGGGCACAAGTCATATGCATCTGTGCTGGGCCAGGGTAAGTCGTCACGTACACTCACCTCTCGCTCACCCCAGCGTCAGCTAGCTGTGGTTCCGTCAGGAACAACAATGTCGGCCCCCTCGCTGGTCAGGCCCAGTGTTACGGAAGACGACACCTGCTTCACACTAGTCAAGCGTCGTCGTCGAGGCAAAGCTATCGTTGGTAGGGCATCCGGCAACGGAGGCCTCCGAGTAGCCAAGCCCCGTCCACGCTGAGGTGTTGTGTCCGACTCAGCGTGGATACTACCGTTGACTCTCTGACCCAGTTTCTCCAGGACAACGGCACGCAACTAGTTGGATGTGAGAAATGAGACCCAGGACTCTACTCGACTTCCAAGGTAATGATACAGAAAACGGACTCTGAGAACATCCTGTCTCCAGACTTCTGGCCCAGCGGTGTCCTGGTGAGAAGGTTCTACCCAAGAAATGTGCCCCAGGACTCTAGATGGACTTCCAACAAGGTAATGACCCTAACTGTAACAATAGTACTCATAAGGATGCTATCCTTCACTCAGATAATAAACACTCTACAATCAGCTGCTCCTGCCTCTCTTCCTAATTCTAAACGCTCCTCCCCCCATTCTGTACCTGGCTGGAACGCCGTTGTGAAGGAGGCCCATCATGCCGCCCGAGACGCCTTCTTTCTCTGGCGGCAGTTGGGTCGGCCTAGGCACAGAGCCGTTTGGGAAATTATGAGAAAATCAAGGGCCAAATTCAAGCTTTTACTTAAGCAGTACCGCCGTTCTGAGGCACAGTGCAGAGCGGACGCACTGGCCACGCACCTGCATCAGGGGGGTTGCAAGAGTTTTTGGAATGCCTTGCGTGCCCAAAACTGCTCCAAGTCTAACCTTCCCCACACTGTTGAGGGCCACACCGGGGCCCCAGATATCGCTGATATGTGGCGAAGCCATTATAAGTCACTGTTCAACTCGGTAAACTCGAATCACTACAAGCAAGCTGTTACACAGTCACTTAACTCAGGTGTTAGTGCAGACTGTACGATCTCAGTAGATGAGGTTTGTGATGCTATTAATAATCTGCCCAATGGGAAGGCTAGCGATGTTCAGGGTATCTCTGCGGAGCATCTCAAACATGCCGGGACTCGGCTGCCTGTTGTGCTCTCAATCTTAATTACTTCTATGTTGAGACACGGCTATGTCCCGCCAAACCTTCTACGAGTGGTAATTGTTCCAATCCTTAAGAAGCCCTGTTGCAATGCGTCTAGCAGAGATAATTACCGACCCATCGCCATCACTAGCCCTCTATCTAAACTCATTGAATGCATTCTACTGAAACGCCTCGAGGATTCTTTAGTTACTCCTAGTAACCAGTTTGGTTTTAAGAAGAGTCATGGTACCGACCTATGTGTATTTGCTCTTAAGGAGATTATTCAGTACTATCGCCAGCGGGGCTCTCCTGTGTTCATATGTTTTCTTGACGCCACGAAAGCCTTCGATCGTGTCAATCACTGGACTTTGTTTAAGAAGCTCATTGACCGAGGAGTACCGATGTACCTAGTTAGATTTCTTGTTATATGGTACAAGGCCTTGTCCTTCTCTGTCCGCTGGGGTCGAACCCTCTCTGACACGTTCACAGCAAGTAATGGTCTGCCGCAAGGCAGCCTATTGTCTCCATTCCTGTTCGACGTGTATGTTTCTGATGTAAGTGTCGAATTAGCAAATTCCGGGGTGGGATGTGTTGTTGGTGATACTGTGGTGAACCACTTAATGTACGCGGACGATATTTGTTTGATCTGTCCTTCTGTGAGGGCCCTGGAGAAACTAATTGACATCTGTGAGCACGCGGGAACGGATATCGACATGTTATTTAACGATAAGAAAACCATGTGTATGTACTTCCCATGTCGCCGCTTCCGCCTGCATGGCCCACCTCCTCAACTGAAGTTGTACGGGTCCACATTTATGTTTCAACTGCCAATTACCTTGGGTATTACATTAACCCTGACCTGTCCGATGATTCAGCCATCCGGTGCCAGGTTAGAAGTTTTTATTCCAGAGCGAACTTGCTACTTCGGCGGTTCCGCTACAGTTCAGTTGAGGTGAAACGGATTCTTTTTAATAGTTATTGCACTCCTATGTACTGCTCCCAGATATGGGCAGATTATAGTGTGGGCATGATATCTAGATTGCGAGTGGCGTACCACAGCGCCTTGAAGCTGTTACTCTCTGTAAGCAGAAGCACTAGCAACAGCCAGTTATTTGCCAACCTCGGAATCGACACTTTTGACGCTAGACGAAGGAAACAATTGTATTCTTTTGTCACTCGGCTACTTCATAGTGACAATACGATCATCTCTACGCTAGTTCACTCTGACGGCTACTACCTCAGCACAGTCTGGAGGCATTACATTAACCTAGTTTTTAAGTAGTTTATTTTCTTTAGGTATAGCTAGATTATCGAGGTATTATTTATTGTGTTTGTTACCACGCCTCCATTTATTTTTGTCTGTCTGTTCGCAATGTGATATGGGCCAGGGGCCTGAATTAAAGAATAAATAAATAAATATTGAAGTATACTGTTATCATGATATGTAAACAAAAACAGTCGCGTGCGGGTGGCGCTACACTACAAACTCCACATGTGCGTTGTGCCGCTGGCTTTCAGTTTCAGACTGCATTTTGCGATCCACTTCCAATTTTTCCGGGTAACAGCCCGCATAAAATTACGCACCCCGAGTTTGAGGGCAACCGGAGACACCTGCTTAGAAAATAAAAAGTTAGAAAAGTGCGTAGTTTATTACAGAAAATACGGTAGCAATTTAACTAGGTGGGGGTTAACATGGGTTACATCAAGGACGTTCTACAAGATTTGTGGTCACAGTCAGATCACCCCGCGGCAAAAACGGGGCCCCGACGGGGCCCCAGTTTTTACAGTTACCCGCACTTACACATGTAGCACGCATTTCCCTCCTCAGTTAGAGGGTTCCTGGGCCCTACTAGGGTTTGGGTTGGCGTTAGGAAGAGCATCCAGCCGTAAAAATCTTGCTTAAAAAAAAAAGACTTGTACGTGCAAGCACGTCTAACCCCCGGTTGGGGAAAAATGACGTTAAATTCGGTTTAAAAAAAAATAGCAGAACTTACCACTTTTTGACTGGCACACAGCTGTTTGTACTCAGTAAGGCTGTTGTTGAGCTGCTCCAGCTCGGCCTGTGCCGTGTCTCTGTCCTCTGTCATGTCTCGGACCCGCTCCTCCAGTTGGGTGTGTTTACATTCTAGAAACGCACACTGTTCAGCCATCTGCTTCAGCTGGTCCTCCAACTCTGTCACAACCTTTACAATCATCCAACATGGGAACATCTCAATAACTGACAATTGTGTGTCCTTCTTATCAAACATCTTTAAATTATTCTTTATTCAAGACAGTGGTCAGCATAGCAGCAGTACATAATAAGTTATGGACCGCTGAATCGTGCTGACCATTACATAGTAGTACATGAAAATACAACGTAGGTACAATCTTATGCATGACGCTTGTTTTGTGGAACTGAGTCAAGTTCAAATACCTTCTCAACTCAGTCAAACTTACATCTTACATGTACTTAGTGAAGTCTGCTAGAAATTACAAAGTAACATGGCAAAAACATGAACAAGTTAGTTACTGTAGATAAGGCAGGGTGGATGAGGGTATTCTCAGATTGTGAAATACCAAGAACAAGTGTCCACTTATTGTTACTATCACAATTACTCCACTTGGACAGCTGCTGACATGCACATTGCACCACGCTTGTCCCCAGCCATAGGTATAGATCCTGGCTTAGAATAACTAAACCTTCACTCTGGGCTTTTTGACAATACCCACCATCTGGAATGTTCCCAAAAAAGGAAATGTCATGTCACGATTCGAAGTCAATTAATCGATAAGGTAACAACTAGCCCTGAAGGAGCTCCTTGATTTAACAATGTTGCAGCTGTGATTTCTATGGAAAATAAACTTTCTTTAATGCATATCTGTCATTTTTGTTTTGTGTCTTTCAAGAGGATTATGATAACCTCCTTGGTGCACACCTCCTTGCTGTAAACTACATGGCTTGGTGTTATTTACTATTGGGGCCTAAGACAAGATGCAAGTTTCCTTTATTAGGGGATGAAATGTTGTCACAATGGTAATACGTTATACAAAGCAGACCTTTAAAAAGTATTGGGCATACAGCTCTTTCCCAGGACACAAATGCACACACCTACTAGTTCACTATTAATAGTAATGCTCCTGGGACCTCGCCGTGCCCAGATTTAATTCTTGTGGATTCTGTGGAGCGTGACATTGCACATTGTCTGTATCCAGTTTCATCCTATATACATGTGTACATACCTCACAACTGTCTCTCAGCTGGTTAAAGCGGTCCTCAACATCGTCTTTCTCAGATTGTAACTTTGCCAGTTGTTCTTCTTTTGTCTTCTTCTCCAAGGCAAGCTCCTTCTCCATGACATGAAGCTTTGTTCGTAGATGTTCTTCTAACAACAAGGACATGAAAACAATTCATAACAATCTACAATCGTTGTCAGTCATCCTTGACAGAGGTGAAGCATGATGCTGTGTCAAGGCCTCCATACGGGTGATTTGAAGTGAATCACCAACTTCCAGAATGATGGTACAAAAAATTTGGACCATCGCACACCAGGGCATGTCCCTACTCTTTTTTGAAAGGTGCAGTGGGTTCTTTGATGTGCATGGGGAGTGGCTCCCTCAAGATACAGGACCTCCATTTAACATGCTATCCAAGGGACATCCCTATATTATAACATATCATAAGATTTATCGGACCTTAAATCAAAGTTTCATGCAAATGAAAAATTTGCAATGTTTTCGATTTCAAATTTGTGATTGATTGAACACAAAAAAAATTTTGATCAGTAAAGAACATTCGCAGCCACCGTAATCAACAAGGCTTGTGTTTATCTTGGAAAAGCCCGGTATAAATGGACATGTCCAATGGCTGGCCCTTCCATAGAAATATGTGGTTTTCAGTCTTGGTCTACCTTAAAGTTTTGTCTTTTCCAGTCTATTCTAGGTGCTGAATACGCCTTCCCTGGGCACATAACTGAAGCGAAGTTGCATACTATTGCTAAATGCACTATAATGAGCACATACCTGTTTGACTCTTGACCATGTCTTTGTTAACCGCTGCTTTAGCTTGAGACAATTCTCTCCTGACTGCATCCAACTGCTTCTCATACTGGTCTGTGGACTACAGGATAGAACAGGACAATCAGATATGGCAGACTTTCCCCCTTTCCAATACTGGTTTGTGACTCTTGAATTTTCACAGCAAAAATCACCAAAGGAAGTACGATAAAATTGCACTGTGTTGTAATTCATTATTGCAGAAACACACTTCAAAGAAAAAAATAGGCCAGGGCTGGAAAGACATGTACCACTAGCATTGGCAGGTTAGTGCAGGTAAAATTGGAGTTGTGCAGGTATTTCTGATGCATTAGTACTATGTAATCTTCACCAGTACATGTGTACATTATACATTGTACACGTACTAGGTTTAAACAGACATTCACATTGTCATGTACACCATAGTGTATGTGGGTGTTTATTTGCTGCACTGACAGTCCTACATGTATGAAGTACTGAGTATATCTTCAAGCTCAAATAACAGCATACTAAGTTAGGCACACATCCATCCCCTCATGGAATACAGTGTATGCTTCCCCAACATGGAACAGAGCTGGCACAACTGATCTGAAGGTCTTTAGAAGAAAGCTGTACAACAACTCCAAATTGGGAATGTGGCTCAGGGTTCAAAGGAAGTAACCAGTCTAAGTACCTTCCACTGGCACATCATTCCTGCAATCCTCGTCATGTATGTAGAACTCAACGCTGCCAAGCATCTAGAATGTGAGTAACTCATTCAACTGCAAGTGGGCACCCATACCTCGCTTAATAAATATCTTCAATATATACCAGGACTGTGGAATTCACTCCAAGCCTCAGTTTGCTCTGCCATTGCAAATTTGAACACTTTCAAGACACAGTCCTCCTGAACTCTTCTTATCTTTTGTGCTGTATCAGAGGTAAAGTTAATGACTTGATTGACAATGTGTAATTAAACCAGTGTCAGTCATGGGACTAGGTAAAGGTAAGTTCAGTTCATCCTTCAGGTGACACCATGTACTGTCTCCACAAGTTCCTGTCAGGCATGACAGAGGACAGTTCAGCACCGCCCAGACCTATGTCCTCCTCTATCACCTTCTTAAGAGTTAAAGAAGGGCGACCACGTCTCTTTTCCCTAGGTGACCAGAGAAGTACCAACCCTGCCATTTCGTCGTGTCGCATGACATGACCGGCCAGCGACAGCCTACGGTTGCGGATGACTGTTGTAATCCTAGGCATATTCCCATAAAGTTGGTTGTTGGTCACGTGGCTCCTCCATGAAATGTTGAGGGCTGCACGAAGCAGGCGGGTGTAGTTCCCATCCAGAAGTTTACACACACTAAGGATGCTGTCAGAGACCACGAGTCAGCTCCGTAGAGTAGGATTGACTCAACACAGGTTTTAAAAACTTTTAGCTTGGTAGAATTTAATATTGGGGATTTCCACACTCTTGTTAGGGCACTAAAAGCCCCCCAAGCTTGCCCAATCCTACATTTCACATCATGGACTGTGTTACCATAGCTGCCAAGGTATTTAAAGTCATCAACTTGCTCAATAGTACAGCCATCACTAGACAGCAAGGCCTGGGGCCTTGTTGGAGGGTAAGGTAAATTAACTACATTGTGCATGTATGATGACTTTTGATTGTGAAAAAATTGAGTGATGTGACATACTTGATTGAGCCGAGATTCATTGATTGTACATGTATGATCAGGTTCACACTGTATTTAATTTTAAAAAGTTGCCTTTCTGGTTGATTCTTTCTATGCATTAATATTGCATACTTAATCAGACTGAATCATGATCTCAGTGTAGTGTCAGACTGGTCAGACCAGTGGCTTGTAACATTCAATCCCGGCAAAACAGAACTGATGACTTTTTCCTCTAAAAGAAGAAAGGTTCTTCACCCACCACTGTACTTTAGAGGTGTTCAGCTGACTGAAACCCCCTCTCACCAGCACCTTGGCTTACATCTCACTCCAAATTTATCATGGTCACTCCACGTGTCAACTCTGGTGACGAAAGCAATGAAGCGAGTTAACTTGTTGACAAGAATATCACATTTTGTGCCACGGAAAACGCTTGAAATCTTGTACAAAGCCATGATACGTCCTTTACTTGAGTACGCCAATGTTGCCTGGTGTGGTGTTCTTATGAAGGATTCAGACCTCCTTGAGTCAGTCCAGGTGTCCGCTGCCCGGGCTTGCACAGGCGCAATGAGAGGGACGAATCACCACCGCATTCTATGTGACGTCGGTTGGGAAACACTTGCCAACAGACGCGAAAAGTTCAAACTTGTTCACTTTTATAAAATGGCCAATGGCTTAGTTCCCAAATATCTACAAGACTTGGTTCCCCCACTTATCCGTGATTCCACCCCTTATGGCCTGCGTACTGACCAGAATTATCTCCCTCTTACCATCAGAACTGAAAAGTACAAAAAATCTTTCTTGCCTTCTGCTGTTTTCTCTTGGAACAAGTTACCCCAGACCGCCAAAGAATACCCATTCATTCGTGCATTCAAAAATGAATTAGAGTCTTGCTTTGATAGCATGCCCAGACATCCCCACTACTCTCACGGCCACGGACACCATGTGACTCACCTTACCAGACTCAGGCTTGGTTTCAGCCAGCTGAACTACCACCTATTCCAGCATCACTGTATCAGTAGTCCCGAGTGCAAATGTGGGCATCCAAACGAGACACCAGAACACTATTTATTACACTGCAAATGTTATAATACTGAAAGGACCAAAATGTTGTTATCCATATCTTGCCTTCATCTTGAAAACATACTTCCTTCCGACCCACTCAACGTAAATGACGCCACATTATGTACCTTACCTGTACTTCTTACAGGTAGCCCCAGCCTCCCTTACCCTACCAACTGCCGTATCTTTGATATTGTGTTTAACTATATCCACCACTCTGGAAGATTTGACCAATCTCAATAATGTTATGCTAGGTATTGGTGCGCCAGCCACTTTCATTTTATGTTAATGCTATACTTTATGTCATCTTTATGTTTACATTTGTATTATGTTTTATGAGCAGCGGATTTACATAAGCACAACAAGTGCTTCCTATCCAATGCTCAAAAATCCATGTGAATAAAATAAAATAAAAAAAAAAAAAATTGCATACTTAGGCATATTATCTGCTACATTAGGCACCCCTTTTCTTTTATCCTTAAATAAGCCAGCATTTTACATTTTCACAATGGTACTGTAACAGCAAAATCTGACTAACTCTAAAACACACTGCAAGTCAGCAAATTGTAATGAAATCAACCTAAAAATTGGACATTTGGGAGCTCCCAGCCATGTACAATTGTTGTATGTTACCTCTGTCAGCCTTTCCTCAAGGCTCTTGATTTCTTCCTGCAGTTTTTCCTGGGTGCTTTTGTAGGACAGTAGCTGCTGTTCCAGCTGACCCTTCTGTGTTTCCAGGTACAACTTCTGCTGTTTCATGTCTGCAAACAACTCTTCCTTGGCATGTCTGAGGGCAGACAGTAGAACAAAGTAAATGTAGGAGTTGACATTAGTCAACTCAGGCCACATCAAGTAATCTTAAAGGATGCCATCACCGCACCCATTAAGTTTTGCCTAATTTGGGAAAAAAAAACAAGAAATTTTGTTTCCCTTTGACAGTGCCAAAAATAGGCAAGGATGTCTGTTGCCATGACAGAACGTGGATGGCAGATAAAATATATAAGAAGAGAGGAGACAAGACAGGGCATTGATTTAATGTCTTTTACTTGATATATTTCATTCCTTTTATATGTGATGGTGGCTGTGAATACAATGTATGATTGTGATGTTCCCACTGAATCAAAATCATTAATGATTAAAAACTTTATTTTGCAAAGTTGTTTGAGTGAAAATTGCATGTTGTAATAGTTGGCAGTAGCTAGACTTAGCAGTTTTATAGGTATCATTTCTTAGCAATTTGAAAATGTAATCTTGCTTTTTTGGACCACCTTGTTTTTGTTTTTTTTGGCCCTATTGCATTAAATTCGGAGTCTGCAGAGGACGTCATCCATGAAATTTACTTGGTGTGGCCTTAAGCTATTTTCCAAAAACATTTTTTCTGGGAAAAATTTGGCATACTACTGCATGAGGTGATGGAATGTGAACTTGTGTCATTAAAGTCTGTATGAAAGGAAACAGTGTGATGAATAAGCTGGCCGGTGCAAGCACAGGATATAGCATTAGCAACGTACATGTAGGTTTACAGCTGCAGAAGACAGGATTTTGTCTGCACTGGTTTGCCTGTGCCTTGACAGGGATTTGAAACAAAAAAATACAGGGCAGGCATACTTTTGAGTTGTGTCCCTCAGTACAGTACCTGAACCTCAACTCCTTATTTCTGTCCTCCTCTGTCTTCCTCAAATCCTGCACCTCTCCTTCCAACACCTTCATCTTGGAGTGTAAGTGGCCGATAGACTGCAACAGACGTTCAGTATGAAGAGAACACATTGTTATATAATTTTACTTTACAAAGTCTGAGAGAGCAACCAAATTTTTTTATTTAATATGTATATCATCATCGCACTTCCACTAAACTTTTTTGTTTCCTTGAAATTATGTTTTGTCCATAAAAAAACTGCTAAAAATTAAATAAAACTTCACAATATTTTGTCACAGCACTAAATCTTAGTCATTTTCAGCCAAGTAAGTCACAATTTCGAGCATCGAAGACAATAATTTCATGCCGCCACGTGCTGACGCATGCGATGTACAAAACTCCCATAACCACCCTGGACCAGGCAGCTGTTTCTGCAGACCAGACCAGGCAGCTGATTCTGATTCCCCCCATGTGTACAGTACCCTATACAATGTATATAGCTACATTTGTACCTCCAGGTGTGTGGAAATAACAGAGTCTTTGTCATTCAGTTCCTCCCTCAGTGTTGCCTCCACCTCCTTCCACTCCTTCAGCTGCTCTTCCTGACCAACTTTAGCTGCTGTCAGGTACAAGTTCTCTTCCTTCTCAACAAGCAGCTCCTCTTGTCTAGGTAAACAAAATACAAATTATACTAGTGTTACAAGTTAACCTCATTTGTTAATGTGGTAGACCCAACCTAATACACCAGGCCATCTGCCTGAGTGTACAACCAGAATCTTATGTTTGAAAAAGCAGGTGATTGTAAGGTCCCTGTAATGTCTAAATGTTTACATCATGCCCAGGCCGTGATACATTCGATACAGGTGTTCCAGCCCGTGTGATAACTAAGCGGTATTACAAGGGGTTCTACATTTGTACTATCACACAAGCTTCCAAACATTCTACAGAATAATTAAAACTTTCAAAAATTTGAATATCAGATCGTTTTTGTTAAGGGACACCAAATTTTGGCATATTTTGCAAATTGCAAATATTTTTACAAAGACTTACGAGTGTCCGAGATCTTTGTTGCTCTATTTCTTTTTACTATGATGGCATTAGTAGACTCTGGGGGTCGGGCGGGGATAATTTACTGCATTCTGTGGCAAAAAGACAGTAGAGCTGACCGATATTATAATTTAGGTGTGGATGATCTTGGAATCTACCTTGACTGGGCTTCTTGACTCTTGCTCTTCACTGTGATCTGTTGGTCTTTCAGTTGACTTTCCAAAACTTTCACCTTGAACTGCAACTGACCTACGAGCTGGATAGCAAAGTAAATGTTGTAAATGGGAACATCAAAAGACAACTACATGTATTACAATATATCTTAGGCCCAAGGCCATACTAAGCCTTGCAAATCCAAAGCCAAATCCACCTAAGCAGGATTAATGTAGCCGTGTCTGAACGCTCCAAGTCAAAACCGGCACAAGCTCCATCTCAAACCACCTCCGGGAGGTACATGTATAGTTCTGAGCTGGCTTGAGTTCATGGGAATTAGTCTACAGCACCAGGTCTTGCATGGGTCACGGGGGAAACAAGATCATTCAAGAACAAAAAAACTGGTTTGATCTCAAATCACAAAAAGGAGGCAGTAATTCAGGTTTTTTTCTAAACCAGGGAATACAGGCGTAGGCCAGCAACCCCATATCAATTTTCAGATTGTAGTTTAACAAGGTAAAATACAAATATGAATGAGCAAAATTTGAGCCTAAATATTTGAAAAATGTACAGAAAATGATGCGTATATGGCGGTTTGGTATCGTGCAAATATTTTTAATGTCGGATGCACCTCAGCTGCAATTTTACTTCAAGACTGTTTACTAGTTGTTAACGTTTTTAACAAATGAATGTACACCTTTGAACGCAATTCAGCTTCCAGCTGCAATGTTCATGATCAATAATAGAAAACAGATTTGATTGATTGATTGATTGATTGATTGATTAATTGATTGGTTGGTTGACAAAAACAGTGGCCATTTTGCATGTTATGAAGACTGGCAGTCTCACGGCTGCCAAATCTCTTGATCATGAGATGCAATTATCGACACATATTTTTAATATGGTTCAGGCTACAAGAGCACATCGGCAGAATTCAAATGCACTGCACCTGCACGTTCTGCCAAGGTGCTGGCTACAAGTAGCATTAGCCATCTGTGCACCAAATTTCACATCATGAGACATCGAAAACCTAGGCCTGGAGAGAATTAAATGATGTTTTGTATGATCAGACTGTTTCATTTCAGCTTGTTAGTTGCTTGTGGATTGAAAATATCAATATCAATCCAATATACATTGTACAACAGTGAACTTGAACATAATATGTAGCACACTAGGGAGTGACCTGTACTCTTGTCATCATCATCATCATCATCATCTGACTGATGATCATGATCAGAAAACAGTCAGTGTGTCTTTAAAATTCTGAAGAGAACCCCTTAATAGATATTTCCTCAGCACTGGATAATTTGTTTCACCCCACAGCCCAACCCTTTACTGTGGAATGCTGGCAGGATTTTTTCTTACATCTCGTTGTTGTGAGATGGTTGAGTCCCTTTCTCCCAGTTCCTTCCTCAGTCTTGTCTCGACTTTCTTGACTGTGCTGACCTTCTCCTCCAGAAGATCCTTTTGAGACTCCAGGTACAGCTTCTCCTGGGTTAAGTCACTTACACGCTGCTCCTGGGCTTGTCTGTCGTGAGAAAAAAAACAGAAATGGACAACGTTTAACAGGATAACAACAAAGGGCCCTGCCAGGAAACGTACATTGGGGAAACAGAGGTCTCTTAAACTTAAAGCCAGGTTTCAAGAACATACACGGCCTAGCTCAGCCAGTTCAGAGGTGTCTCAACACATCCACATAGAGTCACCCGGACATTTTGTTTCACTTGACACTGTAAGGATTTTAGACACTGAACAAGACTTTTTCTTGAGAGGGGTGAAGGAAGCCATATACATCAGGGCACATAACATTGAACCGCGACGGGGGCCGACATCGTCTACCAGATACCTTTGACCCAGTGTTGACGTCACACTTCAAAGAAGCCACGTGACAAGCTTCACTGGGTCAGTCTACTGTCGAAAGCTCTAGGTGAATTTTTGGTGTTGAATCAAAAGTTTTAACTTTAAACATGTAACTACCAACACAGATGAACTTTCATGATAGGATGACATTAGCACAAGGTAGAAGCTTTGTTGACATGGTGGATGCAGCCTGCACAACTACAATGTACCAATAGCCATGTAGAACTAAGGAGCTTTCATCACTTGTAGAACGTCCTTGTAAGGAGCTTTCATCACAGACACCTTGGTAGAACTGACACTTGTATGCTGACCAGAATACTGAAACAGAATCTCTTCTGTTACTTGCAGTACTGCAAGTTGTCAGGAAGTTTAGCTGCTATTTGGAAACAATTTCTGCAACTACTGTAACCAATTAGCACCCTGCTATCCTATTGTACTACTGTAACAGTATAACCTGGTTCTGTTGTCTGGACAGATCCTGGAACCCTGGGTCAAGCAGAGCAGGATGTCTAATATTAATGCAGTGAGCTGCCAGTTTATTTGTAAGTAAATATTTTTTGAAAAGATAATTAGATTACACCGCTTATTTAAAAGATCATTAGATTATGTTTTTTCATGAACATTTTCGGAATAAATGCAGGGCAATACAGGCTAACTGTTAATAGGATATCAAAGAACACAAAACAATACAATTTTCTCTTATCGCCCAAAAAATTATGTGTGTAAATTTTAGTTAAAACTGTTTTCAATCAATCAATCAATCAATCAATCAATCAATAGCCTTTATTTAGACGGGAATTGCCCTGTCGGCCTTAGCCGCTCTTCCCAGAGGTCCTTCAAATTAATACGAAAATAAATTACTAACTACCTAACATAATAATCACATCTTGTCCAAAATCACAGTCCGCAAAACATAATTAGACACCATTTTGGTGCTTTAGTATGGGATAGTTTAGAAGATAATTTATGTCCTGGACTTGATGTGTTTTAAGGCTTGCTTAATAATGGGCATTTTATCATACTGTAAAGTATGCAATTATATGTATGAATGAACTATAGCGTCGCTGACTTGGTCTTGGTTTACCTGTCCCTTGTGCGTCCAGTACTTGAGTATGGACATGTCCTCCTCATTGTATGCAGCAATTTAAGGTACAGGAGCGTGTGATGGACCCGGTCCATCGGCGAGCTTTACGTATCATCGGCTGTGTTAGCAGGGTAATTTCAGCACTTTTGTTTCAGACACAATCACGTGTACAATACAGTTAGCTCTGGTGTTCAACCTTTAAATTTTACATAATAGTAATACTAGACATTTAATAAGGCCACAACAAGTAAATTTTATGGATGACATGGAAATCTAATGCCATAGGGAAAAAAACAAGGCAGGCCAAAAAAACAAGGTTCCTACATTGTACATACTCAAATTTTGACATCATATTTAAAACCTTGTTAAACAAGAAATGATTCTACATCACGACTGTTGTTAATGTCTTTAAATCTAAGGCAATTCGTGGAAGTACGCCAGTGTACATGGCATCTTTCTTCAAGTGGGAGACTGCTCCTACATTAAGTATACAGAATACTCGGTCAGAGTTAAAGCGTCTTAGGGACTACGACCCTAACCTACTCTTCTGTCCACCAGCTGAGTCACGGCATACCAGAGCAGTCTACAGTACTATGGTCCTTACCTGTGGAACACTCTTCCACTACAGCAACAACAGCTCCTTAGTCTCAGGACTTTTAAACAGATCATTAGGAGCAGAACTTGATCCAGTTGATGTTTAGGATGTTGTATTTAGTAATTTGTGTATGTACTGTGTATTTGTTGTGTGTATTTTTATGTGTATCCAGGATTACCTGAAAAGCAGGCCGAAATGGCCTGAGCTGTAAATTGAAATTGAATTTGTCACCGAACAATAAAAGTTTTGAATTTCAATCATTGTACAAATGGTTTTGATTCAGTGAACATCACAAAAGGAATGAAATGCATCTGATTCACTCCATCAAACTAAGAGACAACACAATAAATCAGAACCTTGTCTTGTCTCCTTTATTCATATTTATCTAGCATGACAACAGACATCTTTGCCCATTTTTGGCATGTTGACCGCTTTCCACTTTCAGAGGGCAACAAATTTTTTATCCAAACTTAGACAAAAATGTATGAGCACACTGATGTCATCCATAAAAATTACTTGCTGTGGCCTAAAGAGACGATTGAAACCGACCTGTTGTCCTCTGTCTTCCTTTGTTCTGTTATCTGACTGTTCAACACTTTCAGCTCAGACTCCATCTGACAAATCAACTGTAACACAGAGATATGTAGGTGTTAGATAAAGCCAGGATTTTACTTCCAAAATCTGCCCTCCTGCTGTCAAGAATTTGCTTTGTATATCATCTAATATATACTGTAATTATATTTCAGTCCATACCATGGTATGGATGAAATATATTGTGTTCTCTGATGTTTCTTCTCCTTCTCCTCCTCCTCCTCCTCCTCCTGCCACACAGTCAGAGGGATTCAACTCCGCCATCATTCAGCCAAATGACTTGAAATTTGGCATGGAGGTAGAGTGGGCCAATACCCCAGGCGTTTTTTTCATTTTTTTGATACATGCCTTTAAAAAATTTTTATGAAGGTTTTTTGGGGCATTTTTCCCCAAAAAATGGATTTTTGGATCCTGAGCCCTGGTTTTACAACCAAATGATCTGAAATTCGGTATAAGGGTACCTTGAACATGTGTCTACAGAACAACAGTCACATATTTGGCATACACCACTTCCAAATGACTCATTTGGGGGACTTTAATGGCTATTTTCAGCTAAAAAAGGGCCAAAAGTGCTATACCCGTTCCATGTTCTATCTAAAGAATGGCACGTTCTATCTGCCGTTGGCCATGGAACAGGTGTTCCATTGCGGGTTACCTGAGGTCACATTGCACGTAAGTCGTGCGTAATGACCCACACATTCAATTTTATGTGCCTAAGACCTTCAAAATGCATCAAATCTCATCATTGTTAGTATCTGCATACCTGTAAGAAGATTAGTAAAGCTTTCGAGATTCAATGTGCTTGTTGTTGCATCTTTGTTCTCAATTACATGGCTACTATATAATTCATTTATTTGAGAATCTTTGCCAGTTTTACACTGGGGTAAGTTTGGAATAGTCCACTTTTACGTGGGAGGGAGATGGACTGAAATATGCTGTATTTGCTCCCAAGCAAATGTCGGCCTCTCTAGTACAATAGTCGTATCAATGTAAAACATTGTTTTCCCTTGTATTCTCATTCTTTCGCTACCATGTCGTTAAATGTGGTGAAGCCATGCTGCATTTGCTCCAAAGCAAATGTCTTCCTTTCTAGTTGTCTAATGTCTTTATTAGTGGTACTGGCATATTGTTGGTCTTTCTTAGTTTCTCTGAGGATCTTTAGTCTAAAAAGTGGTGCCCACTTCACTAAGTGTTTTACCATAATTTTTTTTACAAGCAGGGAAGAAAGACAGGGTCACCTTTGGTGGGGCAGGAAGAGGATCCGGCAAGTTTCAGACTGCAGGAGGACTGGCCGTGTCATCGACTAACGAGATATTTGTGACTGATGTGGGCAACGAACGAATCCAAGTCTTCAGCATGAAGGGAAGTTTTCTTCGCAGTTTCTCCACAGGAAAAAAGATGAAACCATATGCCATATCCATAGGCCGGCAGGACACCTTGTGGGTTGTTTTGAATACAAGTCGTCCGTCAGCCTTCACCGTCCATCAGTATAGCAAAGAGGGCCATGTCCTCTCTAAGTGTATTTTCAGGGATGGACTTAAAATCGCTGGGATTGCCTGGCACAAGCTTTCTGACAGAATCATACTATCAATAGAACGTAAACGTTTTCGTTTACGTCCGATAACGCAAAAACAAAAATAACGGCAGGGTTTGTGGAGGTTGTGGAGGCTGTGTGGTTTAGACCCACTTACACACTGACACAGGTGCCAAAATTTATCAAGTTTGGGTCGACAGCAGGAACATTTGGGCAGTCTGTTGCCGTGGATGAGAAAGGAGAACATCTTTATCACAGACAACCAAAACAGTACTGTTCAAAAGTACGACAAGTATGGAGTCTACCTTTCCAGTTTTGACAGCAAGGCAGGGGATCTTTTCTATCCCTCAGGAATCTCTGTGGACAGATTTGGCCGTGTAATTGTGGGTGATTATCGGAACAGCAAATTGGAGATGTTCACAGCTGAGGGAAAACACATCCGCACTGTCGCTTACGTGCGATACCCTTACCGTGTTGCTACAGGTGGGGAGGGGCAGCTTGTGGTGTCGAATGAGAGTAAGTTTGTAACCATCTTGCTCAAATATTAGGGCCGTATCAATTCATTTCCTATACGTTCTTAGGCATTTTCAAGTAAAGATTCAGCAGGAAGACAAGATAAAAGCAGAGAGCTGGGAGGAAAACTAAGCTTCAGACTGCAACTCTGAATACAAAGGACAGGGAACAAACTTGCTTCTTGTTGTACCAATAGAGCGACTACCTGGTTGAAAATCAGTATCAGTACTCAGGAGTCGGAACTTAGTATGGAAGT